CTGGACCTCCTACCTATATGCAGCACTCTTAGAAACTGTTGTCAAACAGACCTCACCTCTGTATTCACTTATGTGACAGTCAGTGAACATTTTTCTTTGGGCCTTCCTARCATGTTGAGTCACAATATCATGGCTAGAGAAAAATACTTCTGGCTAAAGGAGTAGCAATTTTCTTTTGCCTTTTTGTGACAGATCATATTTTGTAGCATGCAGTAGTGTCTGCATGAACTTACTTGTGTGATTTTTTGGTATTTGCTCCATCAGGTCCCTCTCCACAGTCATAGGCCTGGATGGTGAATGTGTGCTCCTTATGTGCTTCACAATCCACTGGTTCCTTGGCCCGGATCAGCCCCTCTCCTGTAGCTTTGTCCAGGATCACAGCTTCAAAAGGTACCCCTGACCCGTGGATTCTGAAGCCACAGATTTCACCTGGCACACGCAAAAACAGAGAGGAAGAGGAGAAAGAAAAGGACTGAGGAGAGCACATTACACCCCTTGTTTTGCTTTCCCATATTTTTTCCTTTCTAACCTGCACTTTCCATTCTCCCTCGCTATTATCCTTCATTTTGAGCAGTTTTTGGTTCCTTAGGAGTTCCTCCTGCTATGCCTTATAGCCACTAATGGTGCAGATTGCCATCTACTGGAGACTACTCCCACGGCAAGGAGTCCTGACCAGCATCACAAAAGATTGGAGGTTACAAGGCTCAAGCTACATTTATTAGCGCTATACAGCCACAGTCCTGAGGGAGCACCTTATTTCTCCTCCGCATCCCTCAGGGAGGCAAAACAGGCCATAAAGCACAGATAGACAGCCAGAGCATGAAGATCCACGATGCCTCATCCACCCACACACGCAGGATGCGCAGAGTACCGCAGGGAACTGCAGATAGGGTCACCTCAGTCCTAAAATTCAGCTCACAGGGACCACRCGTACTCTCCCAAAGCTGAGGAAGAATGGGTGAGGAAACTCCAGGCACAGCCTAAGTAAGCACTAGGGATACAACCCTTGAAAGTCTCGTTTGTTGTTCCTGGGATTCGTGGTCCCTGTGAGGGGATGTAGCACTGCCAAGGAAGTGTGCCCTACCAGCTTTCTCCAGGGCTCGCAGACTCAGCRCTGTGCATGTGATCTTTGGAAATAGCAGAACTGCGTCAAAAAGTAGCTGGCTCCACCCTCAGTTCCTCTCCCTAAGGAAACAGCTCGCAGCGTCCTAAATCAAGCTGTGCCCAAATTGCCTCCAGACTTCACCAGGGACCTCCTCCGGAACAAGGTTTGGAGGTGATTGCTTCCTGAAGAGAGGCAGGATCCAGCTCATGGATGAATGTCACCATGTCCCTGTCTCTCCATGAGTCTGTCCCTGCGTTCCCAGAGCTGTTCCCCACCTACCTGCATAGCGCAGTGGGGCATCTTTGTCCAGGGCAAACAGCGGCGGGTTGAGCAGGACAGTGTTGTCGTTCTCCATCACGATGCCCTGATACTCGGCTTCAATCCATGGTTTGTGCTTGTTTGCTGAGGTGGGTTCGGGGTAAGGGATGGGGGACAGGAATGYATTAGCCACCAATTGCAGATTCAACAGGAAAAGAGAAGAACTTCATCCCCTGGCAAGGAACAATCACCCATCCCCACCTTCTTCTCTGGAAATAAAGAAGTCTAAAATAGCCTGGGAGAAAAAAAGTTATCTTTATTTAGTTCTACTCATGGGAGACCTCATCAGAAACAATGTGTTCTTTCGTGCGTCCTCATTACTGTCTTATTAGAAATATGTGGAGGGACAYCTGGGTGCCCAGAAAAGCTGGAGCAGTTAAAAAAAAGTGAACTCAAGAGACAGAAGAAGCCTCAGCCTAGAGACAGATCCCAAATGCTAAACCCTTTAGCTCAATGAAGCCATAGTGAAAGGATCCAGCCTACATCCCTTGGGGTGTTCCCAGGGGACAAGTCTTGCATGCAGCCATTATCACTTCTGTCTTGCACCCTCAAGCCTAAGGCCCAGGACCTCCACACACATGCCCAGGTGCACCTTCAGTCAGCCAACCTATTCTGAGAGTCCTTTGCTCCTTCCTTCCCCACTCCATGGTGAGCACCATATTCCTTTGGCCCCTCCTTGCTGATCCCGTTGGCTGGAGCCCAGCCAGGCCTGGCATGGAGGCAGCAGCCAGCAGGAGGCTCTGAAAAATGTCACAGGCCCAGAAATAGCAAATTAATCTTTATCACACAGGCTCCGGGGCAGGGAAAGGGAGAAATAAAGGGGTGGGGGGGAGGGAAGGGGAGGGGATAGGAGGGGAGAGAGAAAAAAAATCATTACAAATTAAAAACCCCTCCCCCATGCCCACTCCCTGCCAAATGGGCCTCAGAGATTATATTACATGGCCTAGTTACAACCCCCATTCCCAGATAATCCCCCACTCTCCCACCCCCCGGAGACCAAGATTTATTACAACCCAGCAATACTTTGAGCACAGCATGGCTCAGAGCTGGTGGGGAGTAGGATACAGAGCCATTCCCCTCAAGGGCAGGACTTCCAATATGTTGAATCCATCCTCTGCAGCACAGTGTCCTCTGAAAGGCCATATTGGCATGGCCTCGTGTGTAGACTCAAAAGGGGCAGCATCCTGTGCAACGAAGCACTTGTGCATTTTGGAGCCAGGGGGTGCTGCCAGGGCTGGCTGGTGGGCCAGCAGGCAGGGTGACAGGTCAGCGAGGGGACGTCCCAGCAGGGCCRAGCGGGCAGAGCCAGCCTGGTGTGGCAGCGAAGAGTGTGGGTTGGCACTTCTCCACCAYCGTATTGATTGAGATTATAAAGCATTGCGTAGGAAATCCAGARAAGCATCCATCCTGCTCAGTATGCAGGTGGAATCCTCCCTGTGTGCCAGTGCCCGCGTATCCCCCTGCCCCTCCATTGTCCCCACTGGATTCCATTCCCTTACAGATCAATCCATGCGCCACACCACCAAGGTGGGGATCCGGAGCTATAAATGCCAAATGTGCCCTGTTGCTGGGGTAACAAGCTGATGGTAGAGAGATAAATTCTTTGCTGCATCCACCTGCGACTTGGGAATCACCAATCTGATTTCTCGGGAAATGAGTTGTTGGAGAATAGTAAAACATTTTGGGAATATTTTTAGGATACAGACTCCTACCAGGATACAGACTCCCACCAGCTTCAAGAAAGCTCCCGTCAATCTAATACAATTTGCCAAAGGTGGGTAGATGTTTCCGAGCGCAAATTCACAAAGGATAGGGAGAATTCTGAGCATGAGGGGCCTTTCCTCACCAACCGGGCCCCATGGAAGCAGAGCAGAACAAATGAATGCCCCTGCCAATGTCAGGGTACACACAGCTCTGCGGTGCTCCCGCCCTGTAGCCCTGACTCTCCCAAGGCACGGAAAGCATCCTRAGGTGTCACATTCCCTGATGACCCCAAAGTCCCTCAAATGTTTACAGATTTTCCCACCCTGTCAGGTTACTGATGCACTGACTCCTCTCAGACGAATCTCTCACGCTTGTCTTTACAACCACAGATCTAGAAACCTACATCTTTCTCCGTCACTCTACGTGTGCTCAAAGAACATCTGCATTCAGAACATTACAGCCATCGCGCTGGGGTGGTTTAGGGGTTTTTTATCTTCATCACATAAAATACTCTTTCATACAAAGGCAACCTACATCGTTAACACATAACTGTACAACAGTTCTTATTGACAGATTGTAGATGGATGAACTAGGAGTGGAAGATGGAGATGGGGAATGTGTTTTATGAACTGCAGGGGTCTGTAGAGAAACAACATATTTTCTCTCAGTATGCTAGGCAAGGGATGGGAATATAAATCCACCCAGTGATAACTAAACAAAAGCAAGGCAAGTGGGTGGAAAAGCGCAAAACGCGAGGGGAGCGCTAGGAGAGGAAAGAATGGAGAAAAAAGCGGTGGTAGGATGACAGATGGATAAAGTAGAGAATGGAGATGGGATGGCTTGAGGGCGCCCGAAGGGGCGAAGAAAGCCGGGGCCGCCGGGGACCGCGGAGATGCCCCGTCAAAAACGTGCCGGGCGAAGGCGGCGGGCAGCGCGGAGCCGCACCGCCACCGCGGGGGCGGACGGACGAGCCGTGACCAATGYGTCCCTCCAGAGCCCCTCCGCGGGGGCAGCGCGGGGGTCCCAGCGGAGCGCCCGCCGCCGCCCGGGACCGTGCCCGCGGCTCTCCGCCGCTCACCTTTGTTGGAGGCGCTGCCGGGCAGCGCGGCGCAGAGGCAGAGCAGAGGGAGGAGGACGGCGGCGCGGGGCCGAGGGTCGCCCATCGCGGCGGCGGTGGCGGCGGGTCCCGGCGCGACCCACGCCCTCGCTCCCGCGGCGGCGGCGCGCAGGGACGGCGGCACCTCCGGCAGCGCTCCGGCCCCGCCCGGCCCCGCCCCGCACTGCAGCATGACGTCACGGCCGGCGGGGGGCGCAGCCAATGCGCGCGGCCGCCGCGCCAGGTGCTGCGGGACGGGATGCGGGATCGGGATCGGGGTGCGGGGTCGGGATGCGGGGGAGCCGCGGCGGCAGCTTCTCGCCTCCCCTCTGCGGTCCGCGCAGGGCGAGGGTTGCGGGAGCCTGTCCGGGGACATGGGGGGCTTCGGCACCAGGGAGACTGCCGAGGGCGGCGGAGGGTATGGACATCGGGGGAATGTGCAGGCGAGGAGCTGCAGATTGCATCCGGAGCCCGGACTTGGGCTCGGCAGGGCGGAGCTGCCAGCCTGCAGCCGCCTCTCCTCGACGGGGTGTTCGCACCGTGGGGAGCACAGGCCGGGGCACTACTCCGACAAAGCTCGCAGCCACCGGCATCACGGTGTGAGGAAGGGCCGGGGAGGGAGGGTTCCTTGCTGCTGCTTGGAAGCCCGGAGTTTAATACGAGCAGCCCCCGAGGAGGGCGGAGGGTGAGGAGATGACCCGCCGTCCCTACGTCCTGCCCAGCCGAGGCGGAGATGCTGGAGCAGGGGCCGTCCCGGCCCTTTCCGCGCTCCCCGGCGCGGGGACTCTTACTGCGGCGGGGGGCGCGGGGATCGGGCCGCCCCGCAGAGCTCCCGCACCGCGGGAGAGCGATCGGCCCGCCCGGCGAGCCAGCTCSGTCCCAGCTCCGCGCCTGCCCCGCTCCTTGCGCTCTTTGCTCCGCGCCGTCCGCCCCGTCCCTCYGCCCCGGGATGCCTCCCAACCTCACCGGCTATTACCGCTTCGTCTCCCAGGAGAACATGGACAGCTACCTGCGGGCTTTAGGTAACGCTACTTTCCCCATCAYGCTCTCTCCTCCCCTTTAAGTCCATTCTGTGTTTCCGAAAAGTTAGGAAAGTCGAAAAGGGAAAAGAGGGAGRGGGTTGGGAGCCCTCTGGTCCTTCTGTCTGCTACCATCACTTTTAGGCTGTGGTGGTAGGGGAAAGGAGATACCTTTCCTGGTATGGCTGGTGCTCTCTGGCTAAAAGAGTGGAGGARCTCTACGGGAGGAGGGGCCCAGGTCGTCCACACAACTCCTCTCTCATCCTCCAGATATCAACGTRGTCCTGCGAAAGCTGGTCTGCCTGCTGAAGCCTGACAAAGAGATTATCCATACGGGAGATCACATGATCATCCGCACCATCACCTCCCTGCGGGACTACGTTATGGATTTTGACGTGGGAGTCCAGTTTGAGGAAGACCTGGGACCCGTGGATGGACGCAAGTGCCAGGTGAGAAACCCAAGCAGTTTTCAAAGGGGACTGGGGTGCGTGAGGAAGTTCAGGGATTTGCTGAATCTGCTTTTGACTCAATAACCAGATGAGAACCAAGCCCGGGGCTGGCATGCCCCTGCAGGTCCAGGAGTAAGTGGTTCTGTGAGTAAATCACTCACTGCAAACACAATGAGYAGCAAAGAGCCAGAAACCAGTACTGTGGGACTCAGAGGATATTATCCTCTGGAGCAAAGCCCTGAAAAGATAGAATGTCAGTCCACTTGGCAGAACTCTGTTGTTGTACTTGGAAGCCAGAGGGTCATTCACCTCCAACAAAGACCATCAGTCCCAAGGAGCGGCTAAAGGGACATCGGACCAGGAATTGCATTTGAAATTGTGTCMGAGAGGAACAGCCAGTGCCATTGCTGGAACTACGTATTGCCACGATCCACTTGTCTCAGGACCGTGTCTTCCCCTCTCCTTTCTTTCAGACAACCGTSTCCTGGGAGGGGGATCAGCTGGTGTGTGAGCAGCTCGGAGAGAAGAGGAACCGAGGCTGGAGGCACTGGTTGGAGGGCGACCAGCTGCATCTGGTGAGGAGGGGTCCGGTGCAGCTTGCTAAATCCCAGTCACAGCGAGCGGGGGGCACACAGTGCRGGTGCTGTGGGTTCTGAGCCAGCCCTGCAGTTTCCTTCCACCTTCTCTCAGACTTCATCGCCGGCTCTGCGGGGGCAGCCACCGCTTCACATAAACATCCGCCGCCAGGGTTTAAAAGTTAAAAGTTAAACGGCTCAACAAAGGCCATGTCCCTTCCCTGCCCTGCAGTCGGATCCGCAGGGGTTTTGGGAGGGTCGGCTGTGCATCAGCGTGTGGCCTGCGAGGATCCAGGCAGCAGCGGGAGGGCTGGCAGAACTGGGGAGAGACAGGAGGGCATCCAACCTAAACTCCTCTTTCGCCCCGCTYTTCCCAGCGCATGACTGCTGAAGATGAGGTCTGCGTCCAGGTTTTCCAGAAGGTGAAGTGAGCGCTTCCCGCAGAGATACCCGGACGGGACCCGCGCTCCCCAGTGCGMAAAAGGAAAAGAAACAAGACCCGAGCGAGCCGAGCCCTCCCGTAGCAGCGTGTTTTGTTGTACCTCGCCCACCGCCCAGCAGCGGCCGGGGGTCACGGCGGGGCCGGGCCGGCGGAGAACGGGAGGCGGGGGAGCGGGACGGGCCGGGGCGGGGAGGGCACGGGGCCGCTGTGCGCGGCTCCTTTCAGAATAAAAGCGGGCGGGGAGGAGCGGGGCGGGGGCTGCCCCWCGACCGGCCCGGCCCCCGCAGCTCCCGCGCTCCTCCTGCCGCCCGCACCGCGGCCGAGCCCCGCGATGCTCGCCTGGGGATGGGGGGTGGGTGCCSGGGTGGGTAAAGGTGGCTCAGGCTGCCCCTTCCTCTGAGGCCACCAGCACCCGCTGTCTTCTCTGGTCCTCTGGAGATGCCATATTCTTCTTGGGATCCCGGGATCGCAGAATCGTGGAATGATTTGGGTTGGAGGGAACATGAAAGATCATTTAGTTCCAATCCCCTGCCGCACCCCTCCCCCCTCCCCCCAGCCATGGAATTCAGGAAGATTTATTCGCAGGAAGGGTTGTTGAGCATAGCAATGGACTGCCAGGGAGGTTAAGGATTCTCATGTGATGGTGTGAAATGTGAGGGCTGGTGTAACCAGCCCCATGTTCACTGCACTCCTGGGGAGGTCCCATGGGTGGAGGAAGGGTCAAGATCTCTTCCTGGGATAAGAAACGGTAGGCGCCACCTCTAGCCCCAACATCCTTCTGACATCCTTGGCAGTGTCTCCTCATGGCCGTCATAGCTCCAGTGGTCCACAGCTGTCTGCGATCAGAGACCAAGGGACAGAACCAAAGGAGCTGAGGCCCCCTGAAAAGCCAGACAAGTGCCCCAAAGAGAGGTGTTCTTTAATGGTGACACCTGATGGGATGGGCACGAGTCCACAGGCAGTTATTTCTGAAAAATGCTTGTGGTTGCCCCCCAACAAAAGGTTGAAGGGCAGGGTACACAAAAATGTGCAGCTAGTGACACCACAGAGAAATGAGAGATTGGTAGATTTTGAAAATATAGTCATTTCTTTTAAACTGAAAAAATACATTTTTTCCACCAGCAGCTCATTTAAAAATAGTGTTTTCTGGAGAGCTTCTTTTCAGGGAACTGAGAAGATGAGTGCCATGAGAAAAGCATTACTTCAGAACATGTGATGAGCAAAGGGTTGGGGAACTGCAGCTGTGCCTAAAGTGTCAACCTCTGCCTCTACCATTGTATCTGAGGGCACACGAAGCAGCAGCATCCTGACCACGTCCACAATTTGAGTGCCACACTCAAACCCAGTGCACAGCAGAGCCACACCATYCAGCATGTCTGCTCTGTGCAGTCCTCCTCAACCCATCGTTCCTGTCACACAGAGCCTCCAYACGACCTTTGTTGTGTCGTGAATTTGCAAAAGGCAGAGCTGTGACTCTCAGCAGCTGAAGCTGGTTCCACTGACACTCTCTTCACACCCCTCCGAGCTGCTGCTGGTGCCCAGCACCAAGCTCACCTCACCATGTGCAGGTTGGTGTCTTCCAGACTGTGTGACCAACAATTAATCAACCAAGGAACCCATTCCAGGCCCTGCAGCACCAGCTGGTACAAACTCTCTTTTTCTGAGCCTGCCTTCCAGTTGAATGGCCGGCACCACTGCCTTCAGGTGGTTAGCCAGACTCTTCCACTGGCCTCCAGCCATCCACATCATTTTCCTGTAAGCCTGTGGGGTGATAGGCTGAGTAGATTGGTTTTGATTGYTGCCAGCCGTCATTTATCCATGGCAGCCTCTCTTCTTCAGGAAGCATCCAATTGTGCCAGAACCACAGATAAGAATCATACCCACTTGATGTGGTCCACAMGAATGATAAACATAATGGATCCTCCTGCAGCCTATTCTAGGGCTTCAGGTAGTAACTAGCAGCATTAATAATTCAGTTTTTCCTTTCACAGTCATGCTATAGGTACRATGCCAAAGTCAGATGGTGACTTCACCCAACAGTGCTATATAACTGGGACACAAGGCAATGGGAAGTGAGGATGCACTGTAAGGCAGGGGAAAGGTGTGATATTGGGAGGACACACGTGGGAGGAGGTGTGATACTGGTGAGTGGCTGGTGCTGCAGAGCTGTGTACTCCTCAGGGTCTTACACTTGGCTTGATTCCTTGATTTAGGAGACACAGAAACAGGCTACAAGATGCTGCTGCTGCTACTCACCATCTCATACCAAGGGAAAGCCTCTCTCTTAGAGTTCTGAAGCCCCTTTTGGTACAGGTCATCCTCTCCCTACCATTCAAAGCAGATTAGTCTGAAGGAGTGCTGAGCCATTGAATAGCACAGGCCTGACTGTGTGAAGGCCAAGCCCACTGGCTGGTGACAGTGTCCCCAGAAGGCTCAAACCAAGCCTTTGGGTAGTCAAACTGAGAGGGTTGAAGGTAGAGTGCCCTGGGAAAGCAGCTCAGGTGAGCCTCAGTCTGCAGCCCTGCTGAACTGTAGTGTAGGTAGTGTAGATGTAGGAAGCCAAACAGAGGTTCTACTCTGCCCTCTTTGCTTCAGGTTTGAGATAAAGTATCCAGCTCCTTCTTCTCTGTGGATGAGAGGGTCTGGTCCATATGTCAGAGGGTAATTTCATGGTTTCTGAGGCTGTAGAGCAGATTTCTTTCCAATGACCTTCTGCAACATACTGTGTTCAGTGTGTTCAGTGTGTTCAGCAGGAGTCTCGCTCCATGAGAGGATTTTGGCATCTTTGACCATGCTGAAAATGTGCAGTTTCTTTATTTCACTCTGATGTTGTCTGGATTTATTACCCAGACCCCGTGTAACACAGCTGAGTCAAGCAGGCAGCAAACAGGTGATAGTTTTGGCATTCCGTGTTCCTGCATGTGTTCCACAGACCCACATGAATTGTGCCTCTAACTAAAGAAAGGCACATGCATCCTCCCCGGGAAAAGTCGGCACCAGGGATTTCCTGACTCCAGTCTAACCTGAGGAGGAGGATCGCGGGGAGCATCTGCTGGAGAACGCCAGCAGTGGGAGCACTGGAGCAGGACTGAGGATGTCGCTGGGCTATCCGAATCCGCAGCTCTRGGGGACGTGTTAGCGATGGGCTGCTCGTGTGTATCCCCTGCTAACCAGCCCTGCTTCAGCAGCTGAAGTACTTCCCTGTTATCCCAGATGATTTACCGGGGCAGGAGAAGGAAATGAAGCTCTTTGAAAGTGACACGGGACACTCCCAGTAGATGCCCCCGGGACAGAAGATTGCTTGTCAAGGACACAGTGAAATTATCCACTTCCTTACCAATGTTCCCCAGAGGCTTCTGTCTTTCCGAGCTTTGCCAAGGAACACTCTTCCACCAGTGACCAGCTCATAACCAATCTCTCCAAGAGTAGTCTCCAGTACTTCCCAGCTGCTCTCCAGGTGTGATTTCTGAGCAAGGGACCACTGTGGCATGGCACAGCACAGCGGTGAGCCTGCTTGAATGTGTTCATTGTGTGGAGGACATACTTGGACACCAGGAAGTACTGGGATAGCGTTCCCTGCTTAATCTTAAATCTGATATGCGGGGCTACATGATGGTATACCAGTGGCATTCATTATATGTTTATGTGAWCTTTTTCAGATAATAATTCAAAGATGTTTGATGAGCATATTCTCTAGATCACTTCCATAAATATTCCAAAGATGCCTTCTTCATTCTTTTTAACACTATCTTCATCTTCATTCATCATGGTTTAGTATCTGTGAGTTACTTCCTGTGATTTCAATGCAAGACACTTCCTCATCTCTCTGGAGCCACTCTTAATTCTAAGGAAAAACACTAAAATGATGTTTTATCACTTACACCAAAGCCTGAAAGCCAAGAATTTTTAAACTTCATAAAGCTGGGGACACACAATATATGTCTTGGGCACTATGTTGTTAAAAACCTGAAAGGGATTTTTAAGTTGCTATATTTTCTCATTTCCCCATTAAATAGAGAACCTTATCAATCTATCTTGTTTCTCCTAAAAATGCTTGCAGAAGAAACATCAAGAAGGGTCCTTGAAAAGGGATTTGTTCTCAGAATGCTTTTAATTCAGTAGACTTTTTCATTTTTCTTAATATCTTTTTAACTCAAGTGCCTGAGGTTTCTTGCTTTCCTTGAAGATGATCCCGGTTTCCATTCCCTCCCACCCCTAAGCACTCTTCAGCAGGTCAGAATTGAGAACACTTATCTTTTTTGATGGCTTGATTTTTTAAAGTTTGAATTAACTTGTGAAGACTGCACATTTTCTCATCTTTCTATACCAGAAAACAGCCCAGAAGGATTRGTRGGGGACTTCCTTGGAGGACATTTTCGCGGGGAGCACACTCGGAGCAGCTTCTGGATTGCAGACCAAGCCCTCGGAGGGGTCTCTGGCAATCGTTTTCCTGCCTCCTGGGGCAGAGGAGGTAGCTCGGCTCTGCGCGGCCACACTGGGGCAGCCCCGGAGCASCCCCGGCTCGGTGTTCGCGGGCCGGGGCAGCGGCTCTCGGCAGCAGAGGGCAGCAGGCGCCGCCGCCGGGACCTGGTCCGGTGCCAGGCTGTTCGCAGGACGGCTTTCTATTCCCCGCTGCTGCCTCCCTCGCTCCCTCCTCCTCCTCCSTCCCCGCGTCCCGCCCGCCCCCGGCTCCCCCAGCAGCGGCTCCGAGCAGGGACAGGCGCACGGAGATGTGAGTCGGGGCTCCGGGGAGCGGGACGCGCCGGGCGGGGGGCGCTCGGGGGGCTGGACCTTCCAGGGAGGAGACGGGGTCAACGGGGCTAAGCTGCGGCTCGCTGTCCCTCTGTTAAACCGTTACCAGCTCCTAGGAGGGTCCTCCTGGCTGGTGTTTGCCTGAGATCTGGGCAGAGAKCTTGTTTCAGAGGAACTCAAAGGGCAAGAGGGGTGATAAGGGGAGAAACCCGAGTGCCAACTTTCTGAGAGCAGAGACGGAAGCATGACTGGGTGGAGAGCTGCCTGGAGACACCAGGATTGCTCCACAAAAAAAAACCTGAGCTTGAGATCTTCAGATCTTCACCAAAGATCCTAAACTAGCAGTAACCTAAAATGACCCACTAGCCCAGGGCCAAGGGGGACCAAACTTCACCTGGTTCTA